AGGCAGAATGAAAAATCAGAGCCTCGTAAGGTGCTGAATTTGAGGTCTATAATAAATAAGTGTTTGTTTGGGTGCGGGGGTAGGGGGAGGAGCTGGTATTTTCGGGGTTTTTGTTTTGTTTTGTTTTTCGTAGCAATATTTATCTGTTGTCGACTTGCTAGGCCAGTCATGGTTTCATTATAGCCTCTGATAGCCAGCGATGTTTTAGGGCGACCTAGGTTTTTTTTAAGAGATAGGCCACGCAAAAGATGGATTGGGTGAGTCAAGGAAACCCTGAGAAATAATTTATAACATCCCAATTGAAAGAGCTGCAGAGTCGGCCTACCATGAAATACTGCACCTCCTCTCAACGCGTAACGTCAACAGGGGATGAAAAAGTAAAGGTAAAGTAAATAAATGTTTGTGTCCGTGGAAAAGACGAAAGCCGAGTGGAAAAGCAGAGGAATTAAAAAAGGGCTTGAAGGACCCAGAAATAGCTTTACAATGATGTTCATGTTACGTTACAATGGTGAATGTAATAAAATAACTGTCCCCTCAGTGATATGATATTAGATCAACTAAAAACTGGTCACACAGACTTGTTTCATCTCAAACTACGACAATGGAATCAGCTGATGTCAACTTCAGGCGTAGGGACGAGTCCATTGTACTATCTAGAGGGACGATCAATCTGGACTTCGCCTGGATTAGAGCAGGTCAACTACAGAACTCACTTGGCTGGTGCCTGAGAAATGTCGCAGACTGCTTATTTTGCAAAACAGAACAAGTGCGTGCCATCTATAAGCGTGTGGCGTTGACAGTCTAGTGGTTAGGCTGCGGGACTCGTAATCGTAAAATTGCAGGTTCGTGGTTTTGAGCCTGAGGCCCGGTATTGTCTCCGTGGAAGAGGCACTTTACACGAATTTTCCTCTCTCCACCCAGGAGTAAATGGGTACGCGACCAAGGACAGCGAAATATCTTGTCGGTGTGTTGGTGTTTGAGCACCTGTAAAATAGTAGTTTGCACTACATGCTTTCCAGGAAGTTGCGGTTGTTTCAGAATGTTATCAGGTCTGCTGGGGTAATAGTATAGATTGAAGCCTATTGACAAAATGGCTTACTTCTCGGATTCAGACCGTAAAGATACATCAAGCTTAAAGGTGAAGTTTTTACAATATATAAGTATGAAATAATAAAAGACAGGTTATAGATCAAGAATATGGCATTAATAGAAAATCTACAAATTTGACCCTAACGTCGATTTTGGCCAATATCTCCAATTGTGGATTGCGAGAAGTAACTCATTTTATCAGCACGTCTCACAGATTGTAAAGCACAGGTCTTGCATTTGAGCGGCAATTTGCGCCATACAGATGCTATAATATTATATTGTTACACATTTCAAGCGAAAGCACATTAATTTTTAACGAAATCTCGTCATTTTTAATCTATAATATTGCATTATTATACATTTCAAGGGAGTTTACGCTAGTCCTGGGCGGCGAGGTTCCCGATTATTAAAAGCTAGGAATCGTAGGAATCGACTCCGAACCCAATTACTTACTTTCTGATGATGTGATTTCTTCTGGTGGTTACCTGGTTGGCCCCGAACATTTTCAGGAGTTAGGATAACCTTGATTTCGGTACACTGCGAAGCATCAACTTATTTTTTTCTCGATAATAATTTCTTTTTTTTAAAAGGACGATTTTAATGATTAAAGTAGTGGTAACCGTTGGTTTACGTAAATAGGAGTCGGAATTTTTCTTCCATAGCATTAATGGTGGGAATCGGTTCTGGAATCGAGTCTTCGCCCAGCTCTAGTTTACGCCAATTTTAAGCGACACTGCGTCTATTTTAAAGGAGAAGCCAAACCTCTAGAGTCTCGTCCACGTTGGTCAGGCTAGAGTAGCCGTGCGGAGTGTAGTCACAGAAAGGCTCGGGGAGGGTGCTGTTGTAGTACCACGAACATCCGGGAGTCGCAACGCATGTGCAACAGGAACTGGCCTCCTGGCAACTCACTGATTGGCTGTGAGCGTGCCCGCTGTACAACAGGACTGTAGGTGGCAGATGACAAAGGGGAGGGGGGGGAGATGTCGTGGGTGGGGA